CTTGGCCTCAAAACAAAAAATTCACTAGTTATGGTAAGCAGTTTTCCTATGTGTATGTTTCTACTTGTTTGTAGGGGCACCGAGGGGACACAGACGGAGTCTGGGGCCTTGGGCTTAGAGGCGGTGCTGGGGGAGCAGGTGCGGGAGGCTCCCCAGCGAGGGTAGCAGACTCTTCTGCGCTCCACCCCCCCCAGCTGTGCTTAGACCCCTCTTCCTTGGGTCTGGCTCTGGGACAGGGCGTTCCTTCCTTCAGCCGGCGCCACCCTGCTCCCTCCTCCTCCCGCCCTTCTCGGGAGAAAGTGAGGGAAAGCTGAAGGCACCAGGGCCAGGATGGAACCCAAGGAGAAGCTCCTTTTCTCCACCCAGACCTACCCGACTGGCCTCGGCGAGGAGCCCCTGGCGGCCCCATTCCCACACACGGCCCCGGGTCCCTGCGCTGGGGGAACAAGGGGTTCGCGGCGTCGGGCCAGGAGCCCCGCGTCCGCGTGCAGAGCCAGAGAGAGCGCACACCGACTTCCAACAGAAAGGACTTGGCGTTCCTGGAACGAGGTGTGGGTGCCTTAGGACAGATGCCGACTTTGACAGTGCCCAGTGACTGACTACTGGCATTTGACCCGGTGGCCCCGGGAGCTAGCGCTTCCTGTTTGTGACCTGCATTTGCTGAGGTAGGCAGGCCAGTGTGCCATGTCGCTCTTGAAGGCACCCGGGTCCGGTGTGGGACTCGTAGGCAGCAGGGGGGATTTGAAATGGATTTCCTCGAATCATCTACGGCAGATTAACGTGCAGCTTAACTAACCTGCTTTCTCGGTGTCTTAAGGAAAAGACCTAAGCCTAAGTAAGCATTAGACTGATTCTCTAGCGCAAGGGAGTTGAAGGCTTGAGCCGTTTGGCAGCGGCGCGCGCCCAGCAGGTGGCTCCCTCCGCACGTCCGGCCCGAGCAGCCCCCTTCCCTCCCTGCCCTTCTGGAAGGCAAAATGACGAAGAGCTTGCCCCCAAGACCTGGTGGAACTGTGCCTACAGGAAGCCCAGGAATGAGTTGTCGGTGTTAGGGATGGCCAGGGCCCCCCCCCCCCCGGGAGGTACTAACGCCTGTGCTTTGCTGCCTCTTGTCTTTCAGATTCAGCGTGTTCGACAGAAGCCATCCCCAACCCAGCTTAAATTATCAATCTAGAAAATAACTTTGTTCAAATCTGCGTGGTGCTTCTTTAGTAAATCCTGTACAGATTTTACCATGGAGGACTTTTTTTTAGTTTTTACCTTTTCTTAATTACCCTTATTCCAAATGGACGAACACTTTCTACAACTGCTGACCATTGTAAAACACCGTGTACATAAATCCCACGGACAGTGACGCCCTGGACTGGAACATCTCAAATGCTGCTTAATCAGACTCAGGTGGACCGCTCGCATTCCATGGAAAGCTCCTCCAAGTTAGACATCCGGTGCCAGACCAGCCGGGAAACCATGGAATTATTAAAAGTACAAACTGACAGTGTGTATATTTAATTTAAAGACTTATTTAAAGATTCACGAGCTCTCAACTAGACTTGAGAGCAGTCTGTTTTCTGTAATGTCTGATACTAGAAACTAATTTGCTTCATATTTTAGTTGTATTCAAGATTTGAAAAGGTATTTTATAGACAAGTTCTGTTTTTGAACTTTGTGGAACTATTCCAATCAACTTACCAGTTATGATGAGTATTTACATTATGAATGTATAATCCAAACATTATTTGTAAAGCCTACAGTATGTTTTTATTACTTAACACTTTTTTATACAGTGTCTCTTGTCTTGACTATGATATTGGAGTCTGAGTTGTCAGCTTGGTCCCTTAAAGTTTCTAGTTACAGACAAAATCATACTGTGATTTTATTTTTAATATGGATATGCTATCAAACTGTGATACACTTATAATTCACTGGTCCTGCATCAGGAGATGGAGTGGGGAAAACTGTATTTAATACAGTTTGTATCTGAATAATCTGTATGGTTTATACAGTTTGTGTTGTTCAGAGATGTCTAAAGTTTGATCTTTGTTTTTTTAAAGATTAAAAAAGCACTTGCCCCACTGTAAATATACAGCATGTAAAATTTATATAGTATATAAATGGCAGCAAATTAAACATTTTGTGTCTTATTCTTTACTGCTGTTTCCCCCCTTTGCTTACCAGACCTTTCTCACCACCTCCTTCCTGCTGCCTTCACGGTCTTAGAAGCCTCTGAAGCCCAAGCCCGGGATGAGGAAGGGACAGGGAGCAAGTTCCTGGGCCCGACTATCTCTATTTTAAAGAACCAGGTCCTAGGTAGTCTTCTTTGAACAATGCATTTTTTTATTTTGTGAACACAGTATTTGCAAGTTGATGGCCATACACCTTCCAATTTTGCTATTCATTTTACAACAAAATATCGATAGATAATAAGGTATTTCTTCATGCAACTTGTGGAAATATATACATTGAATAACAAACACTCGAGAAATCTCTTTGTACATTATTTACATATTAACTATATTTACTGTAATTAGAAATGTCTAAGAAAAAATAAGAAAATGTGAAATCACAACGTGTGGTTTCAGGTCTACAACAGACCTAACTTCTCAGCAAAGCACATCTATGTAGATAATATGCATTTTAACTTTTTTAAAAATATGCATTGCTTTATATGAAGCACTAAATGCCGCTTCATCTATAAATAGCTCCTATTTTGATTCAGTTTGGTACCACATTAAACTGTTGAAAGTTGCTCCGTAATCCTGAAGACACTGTTGCTCGCCTGGGTCCAGGGTCGTCCAATTCAACCTCAAGTGTTAAACCGAGGCTGGGGGGAGCCGTGGTCATCCGCCCGCCGCACTCCCTCCACTGCCTCCTGCCCTTGGCCTCTGGAGGAAAGCTTGTCTTTGGCCAGAGTTGGGACTAAAATTCAAGCACTGGGCGCGGACGTGGGCGGCGGCGGGGAAGGAGGAGGAGGAACACGGACGGCCCTGTTGAGGTTTGGCTGGGGCCAGGCCCGCACAGCCCCCGCTGCCCTGCTGGGCATCCCGGACTCGTATGCCGGTGTGTTAATACTGTCACAACAAAACCTGGAATTCGAGGACCTCCCCTAACACAGATGGCAGGTTCCCCAGAGTCTAAGCACTGCGACCTCTGCCTCTGCCCCAGGTAGGCTCCCGGGGAAACAGCCGGCACGGGCCGCGCCTTCACAGGCGCCCAGAGGAGCCATTCCCACGGGGCTTTCCTTAAGCTCGTTCTCCCACCCCCCACTGAGGCCAAAGCCCAGCGAGAGCCCTATCTCCCCGGGGCCTACCTGGGGCACACACAGAGAGGCACGGTCTCCCCCGTGTGTGCTACGGCTGTGGCCGGCGCCGCTGGAGCGCCCTTGAGTAGTGCTGGGCCGCGGGCTCCAGGCGCCATGTGTTCATGGAAGACGGAGGCCAGAGTTGCATATATATACCAGCCGGGCACTTCGAGAATGCTGACGTGCCTTTCTCAAAAACTGGAAGTTTCGAATTTGAGGTATCGGTACAGTAACAAAGCCTAAAAGCTTGGGAATGAAACAAAAAAATCAGTCTGATGCAGGTCAGAGGGTCCTGGGCTCAGACCCCCTTTGCATCTAGTGCTTTAAAGCTACGTCAAGGTCAGCGGTGCCGAGGCCAGGGGCCCGCAGCCGGTCAGTTCCAGCACCAAGGCAACTCACAGGAACAGTTACTCGTACTGACAATCTTCACACGGGTGCCGACGGTCTGAGGTCCGCTTTCTGGGACTCTCACCCTGCGCGGGACAGTTCGTGACACCAAAGGGCGCAGAGGCAGGGTGTGCCCACGCAGCGGGGCAGGGACCACGGCGTGGGCACGGGGGCCCGTTCCGAAGAACCGGAGGCGGCGACCCAGCACACAGCAACCCACCCGCGCCGCGCCGCAGCCCCATCCTGCTCGGAGATCCATCCTCCCTCCGGCAGACGTCCTGAGCACCTACTATTAGATCAACAGCAACCCGACGGCCGCCTGATGGTGGATCTACTCAAGCTCCACCACCAGCACGTATTGGGGGTTTTACACTATTTACAGGAAAACCTAAGTGCCCCGTGCCTCCATCCCACAGCGTGCTCTCTCCCTGCTCCTGGCGAGAGAGTAAGTCTCTGAAAACATGGAATGAGATTCGTACTAGTTACTTTATACGTTACATCAAGAGATCGGGTCAAATTATCACCAGGTCAGTAAAAGAAGCATTTGTTTTGCCGACAGGTTTTAAACAGCGAAGACTGGTCGGAAGCTGGTCGGAACCATGGTTCCGGTGAACCACATGGAACTGCTGGTGGGGGGTCCAAACAGGCCAACAGCAGCCGTTTCATGGGGCTCAACACACAGGCCGAGCCGGTGCCGGGACCGCGGTTACAAGAGAAACACCCAGAACCATCACTTCTAACGATCTGCCTTTTTCGAAAGTGATCTGAGCGGAAGAAGAGCCCCAGGGGGCCTGGCCAGGGACGCGCGGGACGAGGGCGCCCGCAGAGCAGCCCGCACACCCGCCCCCGACCCCCGGGCGGCGCCGCGCGTGTTGTGTAGACAGAATTTTTCTTCAGTGCACAGTATATACTTGTGTCCAGGAGTTATATTTATAGCTGCCATTCTAAAAATACTACTGCTAGAAAGTATCTTTCGTTATAATTTCAGAATATAAAAAGGCATATAAAAGCTATAATCCTATATATCTGAGAAAAAAACCTCTGAATAAAAAAGTGGTAGCTTTTCCTTCCTTGTCTGATACAAAACAGCGGCTTCTGGAACGGTGAACGCAGCCCCGGGGGAGCACGTGTGGCACGGCGGGCACGAGCTTCCCTCGGAGCCGGGAGGAGGGCGTCGGCACGTCGGCTGCGCGGGGCCCTTGGCGACCCCGGAGCGGCGCTCCCGCCAAGCGGCCCGCGCGGTGCAGGCGCTGCCGCCTCCGGGGAGGCGGCGGGAGAGCGAGGCGGGGCCCAGGGTGTCGGGGGAGGCTCCCAGTCACTTTCTGCTGCGGGGTTTTGGTTTCTACTTTCACCTGTTGAGGCCGGGAGAGATCTATTTCTTATTGGCAATCCTCCTCTTCCTCGTGGCCAGCATGTCATAGAAAGGATCCCTGCTGATACTCGCTCTGGGGAGAAAGGAGAATCCTGAGGTCGGAGGACACCCTGCAGCGCCCCCAAGCGGAGGCCGGTCCCGCACGCAGAAGTGCGCGTGCGCGCAGGCAGGAGCGGCGCACATGCACGCGCTCCCGCCGTACACGCTCACACGCTTGCGCACTCCCACACAGGAAGGCTTACACACTCGCATATGTACGCACTACCACACGCGCAGGCGTACACGCTCCCACGCGGGCACACTCCCACGCGCTCGCTCTGCCACCGCACTGCGTGCACAGAAAGGACCCGGGGCCGTCGGGGCTCTGAGCGGGGGCCGGGCGCGCACCTGATGGACTTCATCCACTCCTCCTTCTCCTCGGGGCTCGGGGCGGAGATCCGGTACACCACGTGGTTCCCCTCCACCACCCGGCCGTCCGCCTCGGTTTTACAGGCCTTGATGACCTGGCCCTTATGGCTCGGGTTATAAAGCTCGAAACAGTTCTGGTGGAGACAGACAGAGCGCCGTCACGGAGCGCTGCGGCCGCCGGAGGGCAGGGGTTGGCAAGGAGGAGGCCAGCTTACCGGTTTCCGTGGGTCCTCCACCTCCCTGATGCTGAGGTTTTCCAGGGGGATGATCCCCCTGGGCTCCTTGTCCTACGAGAAAGAGCGCACGGCCAGCCTCGCTCAGGCCCGCGCCCCCGAGGGGCCGTGCGCCCGGCCCGGCAGCCCGCCCCGTACTTACTGTCGTGTACTCAAAGTAATAGAGGCAGTTGTCGGTGAGGATGAACCAGCGCCGCTTCCAGGTCTTCACCCGCCCTCCTAGAAGCAGAAGGAGCTCGTGAGTCGCAGCCCGCACGCGCTGGGGACCCGGGGCCCTCAAGGGCGGGCCCGGGACCGACAGAAATGACTATCTTCAGAAATGCCACCAGGAGCCAAGCTGGGTCTTAAGCTCCCTTCTTCCTCGTGGAAACGTTGTTCATTCCGCCCAACGCTTGAGCCAAGTCCCGGGCGAGCCATGTGGCCTGGCGCCGGGCCGGCGCGGGGCGCTGCCGGGGCCCCACATGCACCCCCACCCGGGCAGCACCGGTGACCCTGCCACGGCCACCTGGGCCACCGCTTTCCAAACGGCCTTTCTGGAAACGTTAGTCGTGATGAATGGGCTTAATTTCCCCACATGGAAATGACAACAGGATGAAGTCAGTGCGGCTCCCCGGGCCTGGCCGGGGCCTAATCCTGTTACCTCCGGGCTCTGGCTGGCCCTGGGATCCATCATCATCAGTTATTCCTTGGTCCAGGGAATTACTCGATTGACTTAATCTCTTAACAAGATCGGGGACACACATGTAAACACACACACACACACACACACACAGCCCATCTGTGTCTCCTCTCCTTTCACTACAGAAAGGAAATCTTTTATCCCCAAATATTCAGCACAAACGGGCTTCAATTTCCAGCCCTTGCTTCTGACATGAAGTTTAAAAAAACACAATCTACGAGAAAAACATGCACATGGTAACAGAATCAAGCAATCCGTGGGCACAAGCAGCCGTCCCTGGTGTCACTCCCCGAGGTGACATTTGAGGCGGAGCTCGCCCGCCTATCTCTACAACCCGTGAGCGGGCGAGTGCCGCCGGGCACTCGGCCGACGGGCCGTGGTGTGGGAGGAAAGGCCGCATGGGTCACGTGGGGCCGGGGGTCACGGAGGGACAGGAAGGCACATGGGCCGGCTTCCCAGGTCAGCCTGGGGCTGAGGCAAGAGCGCCTCCAGCCTTGATGTTTGCAGAAATCCAGGCAGGGAAGACATCCTGCTTGGGGGGGGGGGGGGGGGGGAGGGGTCACGACCACTGGGATTTGGTGCCACTGGCCAGGTCCTCGGGAGACTGGATCCCTCACCCCTGCCTCACCGATCAGACGTCGGACCTCCTGTGGATGGCCTCAGGCAGGCCCAAACCGGCGGGAGAGGCTGATGTGCGAGCATGCCGGGCACGGAGGAGGGGCCTCGGCTGTGCGGGGAATGAAGGTCCAGCGACGTCTCCCCCTCTCCCTGACAGACACCCCCAGCTCCACCCACCTCACTTCTGGTCCCTGTCCAAATGGTCTGACCGTGTGCCTCCCCCAGTTCCTGCTGCCCCCTCCGCGGCCCTCAGACCCCATGCCTGTCCCCCAGGGCCCTTGGGCCTAGAGCCACATCCCCCACCCCGTGCCTCTCTGAGCCCCAGCGGGACCCTTGCTCCCCACAGCCCCGTGCAGCTTCCTCAGGGGTTCTCAGCGCTGCCCTGGAATCCTCTGCTCCCTCTGGACGGGGCCTCATTGGTTCCTTCGAAGACCCAGCACAGGGCTGGGCACCAGGAGCCCTGCTCACTCCCTGACCTCCACTGGAGCACCCCAGGGAAGCCCACCTTCACAGGGAGGGGACCCAGGAGACCCTCATCCCAAAGTCCTCCAGTGATGAGACAGCACAGATTCTCTCCAGGTACATCCCCCCAGCCCAGTTCACTCTACCTCCCTCACACCACTTCTCTCTGGCTGCACCGGTGCTGGACAGGGCCACCAGCCTCCCACCCCCATGCGCCCCCCACCCCCGAGGCGTCCCTTGAAAAGGTAAGTTCATCCCGGCTCGCCATGCCCGAAGCTCCCAAAGGCTCGCACTCTGTCAGCGTAGGACCCCAACCCCTCAGTGGCCTCCAAGGCCTCCTCGTGGCTCCCCTCCCGGCCCCCCACCTTTCCTCCCAGCCACTGTGCTGCCCCGAGCTCCCACTCCCCTGCTAGCACCTCCCCTCCCCTCAGTCCCACAAGCAGGCTCTCAGAGAATCCCCCCAGGAGCCCACACGCTGTCCATCTGTCCAGTGCCTGCCCTTCTGTCTGCGCTCCTGCACTGGGCCACAAGGTGGCGGCCTATGTGTCCTGCTCACCCCTAAGCCCCATGGCCTACCCTGCACCACCGGACACCAGGAGAAGCGGCTTGGCCGGGAAGGCTTCTCAGCCTTTTGCCCCCCTGAAGCACCTGCCCCACTGCTCCTGAGCTCAGTGGCACATCTTGGGGAGCCCAATCCCTGGCCCGGTGGTCATGGCCAAGGGCCTCCCAGCCCAGCCCCAGGTACCCTTACAGCTCAGTGGGGCAGGCCCAGCACGGGAGGATGGGGGGAGCAGGGGTCGAAGCCACCGCAGGTCTCGCTGCAAGGGAACAGACAGGCTCTGCCTACGTGTGTTCCTGGCTGAACTTCAGGAGATGGGAATGGACACACGGACGGAAGAACACACACACAGCACTCACGCCTGGCTTCTCCGCTCCGGAAGAACACACACACAGCACTCACGCCTGGCTTCTCCGCTCCAAACTTGCTGCTAGTTCCGCGGCTGCTCCCAGGCACACCGTACCCACACACCCTACAACACATACTTTTTCTACAGGACAGCTCAACTCTGACCCATGTGCCTGTGTTTTTAACAGAACTGACCCCTTCTCAAAACTCAGCGGCTATAAGGCATTTCCTTGATGATCACAAAGCAACACTACAATGATCCTAGCTCTTGCAAAGCATCCAGGCCTTCTGAAAATGCCATCTGGCCTCAGACCGTGTTTATGATGGGAGACAAGCAAGGTCACATGGTGACCTCCGTTCCTGAGTGTGTGCACAGAACACACGTTCTCTCCTACGCTTGTGTTGTAGGCCTGTGGCCAAGCACTTCCATGTCCAGGCCTGTGTCTGCCCCGTGCTGGATAAGGGCCCAGAGCTAACCCAGGCCAAGCTAACGCATCTCTGGCATCGGCTTCCAGCAGACTGACTGCCTACTCGGCCCTCGGAGCCCGACGCCAACCAGCTGTCCCTAGAAGCCAGGCCAGCGTCAAGGCTCCTGGGAGGCAGCCTGTGGGCAGGACTGTGTCCAGGCCCAGCAGCTGTGCAGAGCAGACCCACCCGCTGGGAAACCCGCTCTCGGCACGGCCACAGCTCTGTGTGCACGGAGAGGGTACGGAGGCTGCGTGGGCCCGAGGGAGGCGGCAGCGGGCTCGCTGGGGCTCTGGGGAGGAGGCTCCAGGGCGGTCACCCGGCTGGCCGCGGGCCCGAGTCTGGGCGGCACCATCACCACTGGCTTTGTGACAGGTACCGAGAACGCCAGCACCGTGACTTCTCCTCACACGCGTGCACGTGGCGGTGGAACATGGAGGGAGCCGACCCCGAGCTGCAGGGGGCCCCTTGGGCACCCACTCAGCACCGTGCCAGCTCCGTAGCTCCTTGGGGTGCTCTGAGCACTGCTTATGTGCGCACCCAGAGCACAGGTGGGAACACAAGCCCCGCTGTGCCTTTGTCTCCCTCGTTTGGTTCTTTCGAAGCAGATGCATCTCCCCCTGGTGCCGAGGCCACACCAGCTGCCAGGCAGGCTCGCACTGTCGCTGTCAACACAAGGGGCCCTCCCTGGCGTGTCGGACACGTCCCCCCCCCGCTCTGCCCTGACCCCAGGGCCACAGGTTTGGGGTGACCTGAGAGATGCATCTCCAAGTCCATGGCTATGGTTATGGGTTTCTAGACAAAGATCTATCTAGAACTCCCCCAAACCTCAGCACAGCCAGAAAGAAGCCAGAGCAAGACCCCAAATCGGAACGGCCGAGCCCTGGCACACGCCTTCATGCCCGCCTCTTACCCTCGCCTTGATTACAAACACAAAGTCGCGGGGATTCTCTCAGGCCCGGTGTCTCACAGCGTGTTCTACAGCGACCATGCCTGGTTGGTACATGCTGTCACATCTCACAGGCTCTCGTGTCACAGTAAGGCAGAAATCCGCCCCCCCCCCCAGAATAAAAACAAAACAAAAAACCACCCTACCAGTTCCTAAAATTGCCCAGAAAATATCAACACTACTCTACTTCTTCGTCAATGGTTAGGAAGCCCTTTGAACATTCCCGGACTCTGTCCAGGGGTGGTGCAAACATGCGCTGTTTGGTTAGTATGAGAGGCAACCGGTGATGTACGGGGAGGGAGCAGGCGACCAGCAGTCTCGAGGCTGCTCAGGCGCTAAGGACACGGACGGGCAGGCTCGGTCCCACATGGCATTCCCATGCGCTCCCAGCGCCTAAGGGCTGGCATTCCGGCCACGCCTCACCCGGCCCGGGGTATGAATGTCACATTCGCCGCACCCTGCATGAAGCTAACCCCAGCAAGTCCAAAGCCACAGGGGTCAGACGAATGGCAGCCACAGATCAGAGCTTCACACAGACCAACGGGGGAGAGAAACCGAGAGAGGAATGAGCAGCTGGGGAAGGGGCAGGAAGCCACTGGGTACGTACCTCCTAACGCAGAACAAGCAGGGACAGCCCGTCACAGAACAGAAAGGTGGGAGCCACAGGCAGAAGGAAAACAAGAAGGCACATTTAAACCACGCATCAAAAATCAGCCACACCAAACCAAGAGAAAGGCACGCAGGTTCTCGCAGTAAATGCACCTGCCTCTGGTACAGAAAACTGCCTTGGGTCTATCTGGACGCTAACTGAGCAGTTTTCTGGGACACTCGTGCAGCCCGGGTGTTATTCTCTGCCGTGGACACGGCCGGCAGGGCCTCGTTCAGACGGGGCAGGGCTCAAAGCGGCAGCCATCGAGTCTGGGGCGTGCGGCCGGCTACGGTGGGCGGACTCGGCCAAACGGCCCTCGCTTCTAGCGGTTCTGCCTTTGGTCAGGGCCCTTGGCTGCCGAGGGCTGGGGGCTCCGAGCACGGGGCCCGCCCGCCAGCCGCCACTCACCCAGCTTCAGGAGCCAGCCCTCGCGGTCGGGGTTGAAGAATGTGTGCGTCAGGTCATTGCCATCGTCCTCGGGGATTTTGAACGGCTCGTTCTTGATGCTCTCGTACAAGTTCTGCGAGGAGCACAGGGGAGAGCGTGCTCAGGGACACAGCCAGGAGCGAAAGGGCTGGGCGGCGGCGTGTGTCCCTGAGGGCACCGGGCTCGGTGAGACCAGGGCCGTGACCTGCAGGTGCCTGACGGTAAACATTGCCCAGCGCTGCTCCCGAGGTGTGAAGGCCAGCTCTGGGGCCCTGAGGGTGGGGAGCTCACCCGCAGCAGCTCCTCCGGGAGGTCCCCTCCCTCGTTGATGCCACGGTTCATGGTGACGAAGCGCTCGGCCGTGGGCTTGTCCCGCACGTTGTGGTTGTGGAGGCTGGTGTTGAGCATGATGATGGCGAACGACAGCACGTAACAGGTGTCTGCAAGAGGGCAGACGGCGCAGGGGCCCTCAGCCACGCACCTGGCCAGAGGCGTCCGCCACCCCCGCCGGGCAGAGGCTTGCCGGCGCCGGGCCCCAGCGCCACCGACCTGTGGACTGGAAGACGCCGGGGTTGCACAAACAGTAGCGGGACGCGAACGCCTCCATCATGCGGTCGATCTTCTGCGCCTCCCCCGGAAGTCGAAAACTCCACAAGAACTGCCTACAGAGAAAGGAACACCAGGGGACAATGGCGTTTCCAGGGTCCGGGGCGTAGGGACAGCTGGCTTTACCCGGACAAGGTGGGGACATCCACGAGGCTGGGGTTTGAGACCAAATGCAGTGGGAAGCGGGCCCACGCCTGGGCAGCACCGAGACTCAGCTGCGAAGTGGGAGGAATGCGCCCGACTGCCAAGTGCCGGGTGAGAAACACAACGCACACCCTGCCGTCCTACGAGGCAAGCACAGGCGTGGTCTGCAAAGGCCCAGGGGAGCCTCCCTGCAGCTCTGGGGGGCCACGGGCTCAGAGGCCGGTCGGCAGAACTGGCAGCCCCGTGGGGGTGCCTACCTCCGGCTCCCGCGGACAGCCGACACTTACCTTAAGGCTTGAACAAGGTTCAGATCAGCAAACTCATGGAGTTCGACAAAAGCTTGAAGAACTTTAATATTAAAGTCGTCCCTGGGAAAGAAAGCAAATGTGGTCCAAGGCCACTGCACAGAATTTCAGTCATTTCAAAAGAAAGACCTTTCCTTTGTATAGCAAGTGTCTGTGGGGTTTTGTCTTGCAGAACCAGAAGTTAAGATCTATTACACTGCACGTTCGTGTTCAGGCTTAGGACAAAGGAGACGCGGTAGGAGTTAGGAGTTGCTCTCCCACTCGGTGCCGGTCAGGGTACCGAGGCCCTTGGAAGACTGCAGACGGCCGCACGGCTGGGCACGAGCCCTGCGGCAGCTCTGAGCGCCAGGCGCGCACTCCCCCTCCGCTCTCCCAACCAGCGGCCGCGGGCAGCGTTCCCCCTTCACGGGGGGGGGGGGGGGGGGGGGCTGCGGGCGCCTGGCGCCAGGTCACAAACCGGGGCAGTGCGGAAGAGTTTTTTTTGTTTGTTTTTTTTTGTATTTCCTTCATTTTTATTTTTATTTTTTTTGATGCAGTGTTCCATGATTCATTGTTTGTGCATAACACCCAGTGCTCCACGCAGAATGTGCCCTCTTTAATACCCATCACCAGGCTAACCCATCCCCCCACCCCCCCCGGAAGAGTTTTTAAAACCAAACTAAATGTGAGAAGACAAAGTCCTCAACTTTTACATAAACACAGAGGAGGACAACACGCTTCACTGGAATTTCCCCAGGTCCTGGTCACAAGGGACAGTAAGGACAGCCTGAGCCAGCGAAACGCCATGGTCATTACAGGTGCAGGCCACAAGGCAAGGCGACGCCGGTCCCTCGGCCTTGCCGGGACCGCAGAGCAGACCAGGCCTCGCTAAAGACAAGGGTGCTGCCACCCCACAGGCCCGCCCTGCCGGCGCACGATCCATCAACCACGAGGAACGGACACAGCTCAGGGCCACCTGCAAAGGGATCCCCGCCCGCGGGGCTGCAAGGATGAACACGGCCTTGGGAAGGGGCTCAGGCACAGAGCACGTGTTGCGACATTCCTCTCCTTTCTCTGGGGTGAGCTGCTGTCTTGAGGCCTTGGGGGTCCGCGCAGATGTGGGTGCTGGGGGGCCACCCCAGGAGGCAGTGAGCACCCGGCCCGTCTTCGGCAGGCAGCAGTGAAGACCGAGGAGTGGGCCCGACACCGTGCTGAGCACCCAAGCCATGGCAGCAGCCACAGGGTTAGAGACACGGGGGTCGGCATGAAAGGCAAGCGCCCACCATCCCAGCCCCAGCGGTGCAGGCAGCCTGGCTGAGAGGGCTCGCCGAGCACGGGGTGCGGAGCTGGCTCCTTCTTCGGCTTAGATGTACAGGCTGCAGGAGGTGTGAAGACCCCAAGGCGGGACCAGAGAAGGCAAGTGATCAGAGGGGCGGCTGCACCCCTACTCCCGCTGCCAGCCTGGCCCCCCTGGAGGGTGGCCCCTGAGGCTCGGTCCTCGGTCCACACTTCCTCTCCAGCCACACTCGCCTGTGATGCAAACAGTACCTGCGAGCCTGCTGCTCTGGGGTTCCTGGCTCCTGCCGGACCCCTCTCTGAACCTTCACACCTGGATGTCCCCCCCACCCCCAAGTCCCCACGGCTTTGAGCTGTGAATCAGACCACGTCCTTCCACAACTGGAAAGCTTCCCCCGCCCCAGCAATGGGCAGAGGGGCCCGTCATCACCCTGAGAGCCTCTGCCACCCTCCCCGCCCCCGCTCCAGCCACGCTGCCCCCAACACACTGACCCTCTTGCCTGTCCTTCTCTCCCCCAACGCCTGCCTGCAGAGCACCCTCGTCCCCCTCACGTCCTTGCACAAATGTCACTTTCTCAATGACACAACCCTGACCAGCCTAGCCTAACTGCTAACCGCAGTTCGCCCAACGCCCTTACGCGCTTCCACCTCTTTGCCCCAACACCTTCTAACATACGGGAGAAATGGTTTCCACACTTATTATGCTTATTACGTATTGCCTGTATCGGTCCGGCAGAGTATAGCTCCACGAGCGGATGAGTCCATCTTTTTTTTTTTTTGACAACACAACCCATGTGCCTCAAACAGAGCCTGGCACAGACTTGGAACTTGGTATTTTATGGAACTCAAAACCTGCAGGCACACGGTACTTGTCGACTGCAGGAGCCGCCGGGCTGCGTATTACACAAATGTCATCGTTCATCTTGCACCTGCCACACAACGATGGCGGACTCAGACTTTGGCCCTCGTGGCACAGGCGATTCAATGAGGTGCTGCCACCCCTGGGCCACTGCTCAGGTTTTTTGTGGGTTTTGTTGTTTCTTTGTTTTTGTTTTTAGTTTTGTTCAAACACAATTCACATTCCATAAAACTGTCCTATTTCAAGTGTACCATTCAATGGCTTGTAACGTATTCGCAGACCTGTGCAACCGTCACCACAGTTTCTGAACACTTTCGTTACCCCCAAAAGGAACCCCATCTCCCCATCTGCCAGCCCCAGGCAACCAGTCGGCCTTCTGTCTCCCCAAGTTCACCTCTCCCAAGCACTCTGCATAAATGGAGTCACACAACACGCGGAAGCATGCACCAGCACCCTGCTCCTTGTTGCCAATTAATAGTCCATTGTCTGGATGAACCACATCTTGACCATCCACCGGCTGAGGGACATTGGAACTGCTTCCACCTTTTGGCTACCGAGAATTACGTGGCTACAAACATTTGTGTTTGTGCAGATGTACGTTTTTACTGCTCTTGGGTGAACACCTAGGAGTAGAATTACTGGGCCGTATTTTAAAGACCTGCCAACTACTTCCCACAGCCACGGCACCTCCTATCCTACCAGCAGCACGTGAGGGCTCTGATTTTCCCACATCCTGGACAATGCTTATTATCTTTTTATTATTATTACAAACATCCTAGTGGGTGTGAAGTGGTAGCTCGCTGTGGTTTTGATCTGCAGCTCCCTGATGGGGGGCTAAGGATGCTGAACATCCAGTTGTGTGCTTATGGTCCTATCATGTATTTAGGGATCTTCTTTGGAGAAATGTCCATTCAGATGCTTGGTTTATTTTATAATTAAGCTGTCGTATTATTGAGTTGTAAGAGTTCTTCATACATTCTAGATAGAAGTCCTTCTTAGATTTATGTGACTTGTAAAAATTTCTCCCAGTCTGTGGATTGCCTCTTCACCTTAATGATGTCCTTCTCAACACAAGTTTTCGATTTTGACGATGTCCCATTTACCTACGTTTTTCTTTTGCTGTTTATGTTTTTGGTGTCACATCTAAGAAACTCTTGCCTAATCCAAGGTCACAAAGATCTACCCCTATGTTTTCTTCTAAGTGTTTTATAGTTTTCCTTCTCACATGTAGGTATTTGATCCAGTTTAATTTTTGTGTACCCTGAGTGGTCCAATGGTATTCTTTTGCATGTGGATATCCAGGTGTCCCAGACCATTCGTTGAAAAGACTGTTCTTTCCCCCACTAAACTGTCCTGACACCCTCGTCGAAAATCACGTGACAATAAATGTAAGAGTTTATTTCTAGATTCTCCATTCTACTCCATGATCTAGAAGTCTATCCTTACACCAGTACCACACTATCTTGATTACTGTTTTTAGTCTGTCTTATATATGAGTTCTGCAACTTTGTTCTTTTCCAAGATTGTGGCTATTTTGGGTCCCCTGATGTTCTACATTAACTTTAGGATGAGTCTGTCAACTTCTACAAAGAAGTTAGCTGGGACTTTGATAGGGAATGAGTTAAGTCTGTAGATCAAAGTTCCAATCCATGAACATGGGATATCTTTCCATTTACATAGGTCTTTTCATTTTTTTCAAAGTTTTGTAATTCAGAGTAAATATTTTGTACTTTTTATTAAATTTATTCCCAAGTATTTTATTCCTCTTAATGCTATTATAAAATGGAGTTTTTTTAAATATATTTTCCAAGCTTGCTCATTGCTACTGTTTAGAAGTACAACTGAATTTTACATGTTGATCTTGTATCCTGCAGCCTTACTGAACTTATTAGTTCTAATGCTTTTAGTGATTCTTCAGAATTTTCTACATACACAATTCTGTCTTCTGCAAACAAAGTTTTATTTCTTCCTTTCCAAACTAGATGCTTTTAATTTCATTTTCTTGCCCTAGAACTGCCAGTACCATGTTGAAGAGAACTGGTGAGAGTGTCAACCTTATCTTGTTCTTGCTCTTAGAAGCAAGCATAAAGTCAACTTGTGGGTTTCACAGGTGCCCTGCATCATATTAAGGAAGTTCCCTTCTTTTCCTGGTTTGTTGAACGCTTTTGTCTTGAAGCAGTGAATGCTGTCAAAAGCCTTTCCAACATCTACTGGGATGATCATGTGGGTTTTGCTCATTATTATATTGATACTGTATATTACTTTGACTTTTGTACACTGAACTAACCTTGTATTCGTGGGATAATGAATGCATGCATGGGGGTGAATGTATTGGTGTATAGTCATTTTTATATATTGCTAGATTTGATTTACTAATATTTAGTTGAGGATTTTTGCTTCAGTAGTCATAGGAGGTACTGCTCTGCAGGGTTTGTTTGTTTGTTTTAACTGTGACATCTCTGGTTCAGCATCAGGTAGTACTGGCCACAGAGAATGAGTCAGGAAGTGTTCTGCTTTCCACCTTTGATCAATTATTTTTAATAAAGAGCTAGAAACAGAAACCACCCCGGTTGAGCAACTGTTGGGCTCTTATTTAAAAACACTTGTTTGATCTTTGACTCAGGGGATGTGCTGCCTTAGATTCCTGCCCTAACCTCTGCTAAGAACAGCAAATGGACCCTTAGTTAGAGAAGGCTGGGAATGTAAATCTGTCCGGTGCTCTCCATTTAAAAAATTAATAACTTCCCACCTTCACTCATATCCCCAAGCAACAGGGGGAAGAAAACCACTGAGAAATCTGGTCTATTTCTGGGCAAAACATGAAAAGAAGATTAAGATGCTTTCTGAGGGGGCACCTGGGTGACTCAGTTGGTTGAACATCCAACTCAATTTCAGCTCAGGTCATGATCTCAGGGTCATGAAATCAAGCCCTGTGTCAGGCTCTGTGCTCAGTGGAGAGTCTGCTTGAGATTCTCTCTCCCTCTCCCTCTGCCCCTACCCCCTTGCACGTGCTCGCAAGTGCATACTCTCTCTCTCTCAAATAAATAATCTTTAGAAAGAAAAAAAAAAAAAAGACGCTTTCTGAGGTACAGAGAAGAGGCAGCACCAGTTTCCGTTCTGCCATGGTTCCCTGAGTAAAGGTTTCCAGAGATCACAGACCCTACCTGGCCCCAGAGCACCCACACCTCTCTCCCCGCAAGGGCAGGGAGAGCATGTGACTGCGCTAAGCCAACGCAGTTGTGGGGAGCAGCACGTGCGCCTTACGCCCACGCGTAACTGTGACAGACCCCGATGGGGAGGGCAGGCCCAGGTCGGGCTGCTGGTTCTCCTTCAACTTACCTTTCACCTAGATAGTCCCCAATTACGGTCTTATTTAGGCCTTCTCCTTTATACAGGAACTGGGCTACGTCTTCTGGGGAGTTCTGCAGCAGGTCATTTTCTATTAGAAACTGAATTCCCTGAAGAGGGACATAAGAAAGGAAGCTCTGGTTAGGAGGGTAGCCCAGACTCACTTTTCAGACAGAAATACATCTGGAGTAATGATCTTACTGGCTGGGACATGGCAAATATACCAGGACAATCTGATTCTCACACCCCTGACTACATTTTTTTGCCCATCAGAGGAAAGCACATTCATTCCTCCTGGCAATTTAACAGGCTAAAAGACAAATAAATGGGTTACCGAGCAAACCGTTACAAAGAAGGTACTAGAGATTATAAAAGCAGAGGTAATAACACCGAATTTCCCAAGCTCAGGAGAACGATCTGCTGTGTGTGCAAGAGGAACACGTCCTTTGGGGTTGGCCAACCCACGCCCTCTCCAAGCTCCCCTCTTTCCTTGCCATTCCTTGCTAAGTAATCATGTTCCCAGCTTCCCTTGCAACTAGGAATGACCTTGTGACCCCGATCTGGTCACAGAAAGAAGTCCGGAAGGAGGACCTGGGGAAGCTGCTGCTTTCTTGACCAAAAGGGACTCGTGAGCAGCTCCTTCTGCCTCCTTCCTGCCTGGAATGCAGATGTGACGACCGGCACCCTCACGGCCAGTGGATGAGGGAAAGGCCGGGATGAACACAGGGCTGGGGTCCTGTCACTTGGGAGCCACTGGAGCCCCTGCAGCCACCCCTGCTGTGGGAGAACATAGTCCATCGTGCAAGCGGTGTTCACGAGGCCTTCTGTGAGCTGTAGCTGAACACGGTGACTCATCTCTGCCACCGAGCTGAAGCCAATGAAAATCCACACCCACTTGAAGGCCCTCAAGGGCACAGGTGACAATGAAAGGCTGCAGAGGCGCTGCCCTGGCCCGAAGTAGCCCTGCTCCTCTCCTGAGAAACCCTAAGAATAGCAAAAATGTACCTCTGACACAGCTTCTGAGCTGGTTTCCAAACAAAGGTTGACAAAGCTGGTAAGGGAATTCCGTCCTCTATTTGCCTCTCTTTCTACAAATTCGGAGATTTTCCAGCTACCACTCTCTGTGCCCAGGACCTGGGCTCCCTCACACCACATGGTCCCTCCGAGAGTCTGCTTTTTTTCCAAACACGTGAATGTTCACAGCAGCCTTATTTAGAATTTCCCCCAAACTGGAAACCCAACAACATCCAAACAATAAGAGACGATCTAAATCCTATTCTGGTATATTCCATACGATGGAACACTATGCAGCGAGAATGCACATGATGCATCTGACAGATGTGACACGGAATAAAAGAACGACACGGAATGTACCTTATTTATATTTACAGTTTTACAACAGGCAGCCCTGCTCTACGGTGACGGGGCAGAATTTATTCGCTAGGAGGAGACACCAGAAAGACACTCCTGATGCCCTGCCACATCTTGCTCTGGGTTACACAAGGATTTTAATGTGTAAAAATTCAGGGCGCCTGGGTGGCTCAGTTGGTTAAGCGACTGCCTTCGGCTCCAGTCATGATCCTGGAGTCCCGGGATCGAGTCCCGCATCGGGCTCCCTGCTCAGCGGGGAGTCTGCTTCTCCCTCTGACCCTCTTCCCTCTCGTGCTCTCATTCTCTAATAAAATTAAAAAAAAAAAAAAAAAATTCATCACGCTGTGCAAAGTTTGTGCACCATATGCTGTTCTTCAAAAAATAAAGTTTACCAAAAAATCAGTATGTCTGATGATCCTAAATTAACTCTCATCTATTTCTGGTGGGTACTCAAGTGAGTCCAGGCCCCCCTGGGATCATCTTCTACTAGGGACGACGTGCACAATCCTTAAGGAAGCACTCCAATCCCGAGTACGCACCTGTCCAGCAAGGCCCCAGAAACCAGGCAAGGGACAAGAGCGCCGGTGCCGTGCGCACCCAGCTCCCGGGCTCTGTGCGGGAGGGGAGCTCTGGGCAGCGGGGCCGACTTTACAGTTGGACCTAACATCCCTAGCAGAGAGGTCAGAGGCCAAAGCGGCCCTGGTCTGCCTCTGTGTCCCAAGGACTCACAGACTGGCTGTGGGTGGAACTGGGAGCTCCTGCTGCCCCCCCCCCCCAAATTGCAAGGGACAGGAGAGTGTGTCCAAAGGAGCCCGAGGTCCTGGAGCCAAGGGCCCGGCGGAAGCAGGTGCTCCCTGGGGGATGGGTGCCTGGCTGGCAGCTGGGGTGACATCCCTGGCCTGGTCTTTAGTGACCCTGTCGGCTGTGATACTGGTTGGCGGAGGACAGGGGGGAAGGGGGGAGGGACCGCAGCTGCGGGCTGTCTTGCCCTGTGGCCTCCTCCCGTCTCCTGCTGGGCACCGTGAGGGGTGGGGGCCGCGGCCGCGGCTGTGACAGAGTCTTGCATCCATCCCACCCAGGCCCGCGTTCTCTCCAGCCTCCCAGCGCTCTCCCGAGTCCCTAGGCCCGGCAATTTCCACATTCACGAGGTTCCAGGGACTCCATCAGCCAACACCCTGCCGGGAACTGAACGGGCCTGGGGGTGAGGCCCTCCTGAGCTCTGGATGCCCAACCTGCTCTAAAATTCAAACACTCAGGAGCTCCTTGGGGAGGCTATGCAACAGCCTGATTAGCTGTCATTTCTTTCATCTTCCCCCCCCCACTCCCCGTGTCAGTCCTTGATTCTTTTTGAAAGAAAAGAATTTCTTCAGTCCAATTGCAGTTACCCGAAGGGAGGAGTTATGTTTGAATGGGAGCCTGAGGGTTGTTCTTTGGGTTACAAATGAAGCAGTTAAACAGATAGGAAGATGCCAAATGTTCTTCCGGATTTTCATGGATGTGAACTTAAAAAGCAATTTGTTTAAAAAGGATACAACCAAGTCTTAAAATATGAATAGCCTGAAAAACCAGGATTTGAGAATAGCAAGTAGGCCCAGCCCAAGGTCATCTCTTCTGTGCTTCAAGGTTACAGAAAGCAGCCAGAGGAGCCCCAAGTGAAGTTCCAGCTCCCTTTGCAAAAGGTACCAGAGGGACACCTGGGTGGCTCAGTCGTTAAGCGTCTGCCTTCAGCTCAGGTCATGATCCCAGGGTCCTGGGATCGAGCCCCACATCGGGCTCCCTGCTCAGCGGGAAGCCTGCTTCTGCTTCTCCCACTCCCCCTGCTTGTGTTCCCTCTCTAGCGGTGTCTGTCAAATAAATAAATAAAATCTTAAAAAAAAAAAAAAAAAGGTACCAGAAAACACAGTGCCATGGGGGTGAGCCCAGGCCAGGGACCAGAGTCAATGAGAGCAGTTACAAAGGAGAACGGGACTGTGTTGGGGAGGAGAAGCAAAGAAGCAGAGGAAGAGGGCACGGAAGCCGCTGCCGTGCGTCCCTGTCCGTGTGACACGCAGGCTGAGAGCAGAGCGGTGGGCCCACAGGCCGGGGGACAGCGGGGATGGCTGGCAGCCACGGCGAGCTGGGAGGGAGGCCCGGAGCGCACTCTCCGCCAGAGCTTCGCGAAGGAACCCACCCTGCCCACACCTGCGTCTCAAGCTTCTGGCCCCAGGGCCCACGAGACAACACGCCTCTGTTGTTTCAGGCCACCGAGTTTGTGGTCATTACAGCGGCCAGGATCCGAGTACACTAGGTAAATGCTAATAAATGTTCCAGTATTATTAGACAATGTCCATGTTTTAAAATATCATTTAGAAGCAATGCCTGGGTGGCTCAGTTGGTTAAGCGTCTGCCATCGGCTATGGTCCCAGGGTCCTGGGATGGAGCCCCAAGTCGGGCTCCCTGCTCAGCGGGGAGCCTGCTTTTCTCCCTCTACCCTTTCCCCTCCCTACCCACCCCTGCTTGTGATCTCCCTCTCCCTCTCTCAAATAAATAAATAAAATCTTTTTAAAAATATCATTTAGAAAACCAAACGGTAGAATCTACTGGAAGAGGGCACCATTCAACCCATTACACCTTGTGTATCTTTTCCTAATTCCTTGTTTTCAACCTTGGTGCTCTGTTCCAGGTGTGTCTCAGTCAGAACACATCTGGACTTTATTGCTGTTTCTTCAAACTAATGTGAAGGTGCCTTTTAAGAGGTAACTGAGCCCAGTCAAATTTATGGTGATTATGGATTTGTTACCACTCATTTCCTGAGCCTTCACATATGCTGGGTATTTCTCATGTCTTTTCAGCCTTCTGCTGAATTAAGTTTTCTTCATTCAATTTTCCCTAGTAATTTAGAAATCCTATCTTATCCCTATTTTTAGTGGTTACTCTTAAAATTTTAACACCTAGGGATGCCTGGGTGCCTCAGTCGGTTAAGCGTCTGTCTTCAGCTCAGGTCATAATCCCAGGGTCCTGGGATCGAGTCCTACATCGGGCTCCCTGCTCAACGGGGAGTCTGCTTCTCCCTCTCCCTCTGCCCCTCCCCCTGCTTGTGCTCACTCGCTCTGACAAATAAATAAATCTTTAAAACACAAAATTTTAATATTTCAACTTACATTCATCCATGAACATCTTGAAAACCTTAGCCAACATTGACTTCCCTGCTTCCCTTGTCCCTTGCTACTTACACACAGCTGATCTTGAACAACGCAGGGGTTATGGGCTCCCATACCTCCCCCCAGTCGAAAATCTGCATGTAACTTTTGACTCCCCAAAAATCTAGTAGCCTACTGTTGACCAGAAGCCTTACCCATGGCAGTCAATTAACACATTTTATATGTTATATACTGCATTCTTACAATAGCATCACAATATTATAGTAACATTCTTTCAATAGTAAGCTGGAGAAAAAATGTTACTAAGAAAGTTGTAAGGAAGAGAAACACATTTCCAGTACTGTACTGTATGTACTAAGAAAAAAAAAAAAAATTCCACCCTCCCAGCTCAAACCCAGTGCTGCTCAGGGGTCACCTGTATTGAGGTAATCTGGGACTTTGATTTTTAAAACATTCCTTCAACAATCAAGCTCTTTTAGACTTAACCGTATGTTTAGCTGGTTTCTTCGCGTCTCTCCCGTTTTATCCCGCACCCTGGATTCGTGTCCTGTTTATAGACACACTGTTCCAACCACAATTTCTAGAGCTCACAGAATGTGTTAGCAGTTCCTTTTGTGAGTCCTTGCACATCTGAATGTCTTCACTTGCCTCCTCACATGGGTCTTGATACACAGAATGCTAGGTTTTATTATTTTTATTTTATTTGGTTTTCTGGTCTACACTGGCCTCCCCAGAGAGCTCTAGGTTTTAAATCACGTTTCCTCCGACCTTGGAAAACAGTTTCCCTGCTGTCTTTGATCCAGTGTTCCTGTTGTGATTCTGGTTTCTTCTTGGGTAATCTGGTCTTTCCTTCCTGGAAAGTCAGTGAATTTCTCTTTATCCGTAAGTTTTCTGGTATTTTACTTGATATTTCTACAGATCAGTGTCTGAAAAACTTTATCCTGCTTGGCATTTGGTGAGCCCTTTGATTTTGGGTATTTTATCTTAATCTAGCTCTGAAATAGTCCAGTATTTCTTTTACATACATCCTCCACTCTGTCTTCTATTCTCTCCTCCTGGGACTTTTGTTCGATGAAATCTGAGCCACCAGACCTGCCTCCCGCGGCTCTGCGCAGAGCAACGGAGAACAGGAGCACCACGATCCGCCCTGCCCGTGTCCCCGTCCCAGCCCCGGGCTGTGGGTTTTCAGAGGGTGTTGGTTCTTCACTTCCACGGACCTTTTCCACAACTCCCCATTTTCTGCACCATGGATAAGCCAACACCCCATCATCTCTGATGAGATTTACGATATACAAAACATCCTACTTTTAATGTTTCCTCCTGTGTTAGTTCTGTTTGTGGTGTTTCACGTCTCTTTCACGGGGTCAAGCAGCTCATACATTTGGTGATTCCTGGTTGGGTGATGACCTTTGTATTTCAGATTCTCTGGTAGCCCAACTGAATGCCATTTGTTTCTGGAGCAGGTGACGCGGCCAGCTGGGGCGCTCAGAAGCTGGCCTCTGGGAGTGGGTGTTTCTCCTCCTCTTCCTCGGTGAGGCCAGTGGAGAAGAGACACCTGCGTCTCCCACCTGGGGGCACACAACACTGCTCGGTGCAAGCTCAGCCTAGGGTGAACAATATGGAGGGCCCCTTCCTGGTCCCACGTCCCACACCTGCTGCCCAAGTGAGCCGAGCCCCTAATGTGGCTCTCCCATCCCAGAGCAAATCTTTCCCGAGGGTGCTTCGGGCTACCGTTCATCTTTCATCTTTCAGGGTTCCCTCAATTTCTAGTCGACTGAGCAAACTCCTGCTTGTTACAGATTCGTATATTTTTAAAGGCATTTCTAGGAAACTGGGAATAAAAGAGAGAGCCTGTGAATATTTCCTGCTTCCCTGATCGAATCAACCTTTCCTCTTACTCATTTCTAACCCCAAGCGCTGCCTCTGTGTATCTAATGTGCCTGCAAAAACAGAAGCTCCCGCTCAAAATGTCACCACTCTGTGACTTATTTCCTGCTAGCCTGAAAGTCTCTGATTCGAGCCTGTTTCACGCCGTGTGTGAGATTACCCAGGGCCGTTTTGGACTGAACGTCTGAGTCTCCCAAAGATCCCTATCTTGAAGCTCTAGCCCCCAATGTGATGGTGTTCAGAAGTGGGGCCCTGGGAGGCAGGGTCAGACGAGGTCATACGGGCGGGGCTCTGATCTGAGGGAACCCCTGCCCTTTTAAGAAGAGACACCAGGGGGCGCTCTCCAGCTTCTTCTGGGCCGTTTGGGGACACAGCGAGGAGGCCGCCTGTAAGTGGGGAAGAGAGCTCTCACGGAACGCAGTCATGCTGGCAGCCTGACCTTGGACTTCCAGCCTCCAGAACGGTGAACGAGTAAATGTCTAGTGTTTGGGCCACCAGTCCACGGTATTTTGTTATGGTGGCCCAAGCAGACTCCGACGAGTGCTATAATCGTCTATAAGACAAGGGAATTCTCGTTATTTTTCCCCAGCAAAGGGCCACATGCAGACTAAATTTACCATAATTACAAATAAGTTGTTGGGTAGCACCAATAATTAATACCTTAAAAATCTCTCAGGTGGAGAGGCATCTAGACAAAATGAGGCCTGCAGGGCAGCCGGCCACGGCCCAGGCAAAGCAGATAAAGCAGCTGCTTCCTTGGACTTGGAGGCGGAGACACTCCACAGGGCTGGACTCCCAGGGCTGCCGACAAACCAACCCCAGGCTCCCACAGGAGTCCAGTGAAGTGCGGTGGTCACAGGCCCGAGTCTGAGGTGGATTCCTCGCGCAGGACACTGGGCACGTCTCAGAGGCTCTGTGCCTCATTTCCCCCAACTGCGCCGCAGGCATTAAAAGGGAACCCACCCCGTAAGGGTAAGTGTACTAATTACAGTGCTTCGTTAGCAGTTCCCGATGCGTGGCAAGTTCTCAGGAAGCGTGAGTCAGCCCGCCTGGTGGCACATCTGACGCCTGGTGTGCGCAGCACAAGAGGACAGGCTAGAGCCGAGCGGAGCGACAGCACCGCCGAAGCACCAGAGTGTCTGTGTGCGCCTCATGCGGAGGACGTGGACTCATCCCCGGACCTGTTGGCGTGCTGTCCTGCGCTGCACCTCAAAACATAAGGTCCGGTTTTCAAAACAGCCACTCGTGAGGTATCTCTCGAGATGCTGCCAATGCTTATCAAATCTGCTGGTTGAGCCAACTCTGTAAATTCAACTCCTCAAGAAAGGGAACAAACAACAAAAAACGCTTCTAGCTCCAAACCTCAAGTCATTACCAAATTCACAAAATCATTCCCGGGGACAGCTGCATTCCACTTTGGGGCTGGTGGATGCCCCCTAAGCAGAAAATCGGGAAGCAACAGGAAACTTTTCATGGAGGTGGGAGTACTCCAAGCTAAACAAAGACCCTCCTCCAGCGGCAGCCGTGGTGAGGCTGAGGAGAGTTCACATGTGCAAGCCATTTCTTTACGTTTTGCAACTGTGCTTGCACCTAGAAATGCAAGTTTACAGATCTTAGACCTTGCACAGTGCAATTCTTGCAATCAACATTTACTGAATGAACAAATCATTAATTAGCACAGAGGCTCAATGCCAAAAATAAATAAATAAAATCCTAAGGAAGGTGTGTGATGCGAATGCCACCTAAAGATCACTGTGGAATGAAGTCAGCTCCGCAGTTAGAAGCCTCCGGGGACATGGCATTCCTCTCTGGGACCTCGAGCCCTGGTGGCTAACTCAGATCCGCTCTTCTGTCTTAAAACCTAACGGTCTTGCAGCTGAGCCATATTCCACAAAGCGTTTACAGGTTCTGCTAAGTCTTCTGGTTCAACCTCAAAGACAAGTAGCTGCATGTTGCAGCTTTCGTTATTTTCGGGTGTTTTCCTAGAAAATCCAACTGGAGGAAAGACCCGGTATTGCCTTCAATCAGGAGAGCTCCCAGTCCTTCATGCAGACGTCTTCTCTCGAAAGTGAATGGGAGGAACAAAGTCCCCAGACTTGAACCATTTACCTAACCCCCCAGCAGACACCCAGGGTGCAGCCCTGCCCACCAGCTCCCCGGGCTGTGGGCCATGCCGCAGTGGGAGAACACACTGCTCGGCCTGGCCACGCCAAGGGCCTGTCCACGCCAGCTGCTGCTGGGGCGGGGGGGCCTCACCCGGAGCTTCACACGCAAAGAAAGGTCTTCACGTCCAGGGATGAGGGCCACGGGCACTTGTGCTTCACCCCACTCACTGGCAGCCCCTACATGATACAAATTTAACTTCCACCCTCAGTACCTGTGAGGGGGTATGACCGACCACCTTTGTCCAAAATGAGAGAGCCAATCAAACCGGTGAACCCCCACAGTCTCTTGCAGGCCAGAACACTGGAACGTTGGCTTACCTTTTTGGGATCCATGTTGAATTTCTTCCTCCCCATAGCTATCTGCTTGTTCCTCTGGGTAGTTTTGCTATGCATTTCAAAGAGTTAAGTCATTAGCGAACGTTTGCACCAACTGCAAGAGGGCAGGCGGTCTCCCCAGCACCTAGGCCAGCACCTCCGTGCACAAAACCACCCAGGCTCCCCTGCCCCTCTGCACCCCCCCTGCCCCTGCAGCCCTGCCCCTCCACCCCTGCAGCCCCGCCCCTCTACCCTCCACCCCTCCACCCCTGCAGCCCCGCCCCTCTACCCTCCACCCCTCCACCCCTGCAGCCCCGCCCCTCCATCCCCCACCACAGAGGTGGCCCGCGTGGCTGCCGGGGCTCTTTCCTACACTTGATTCCTTCTTCAGAAAAAGCTAATAATGACAGACAGCGATTTAAGGAAAGCACAGTTTCCTGCTGTGCAGAGAGGCTACTCCTGCGGAGGTTAATTTGGAGGAGCTGTGCTTCCAGGGAAGGGAGCGGAGAGCCGCAGCCCCCAGAGCAGCCCTGACTCCTCCGCAAAGAGCAGGAAGGGGTGAGGGGTGGGAAGCAGAGGACCCAACAGCCCCACAAAGGCCGCCCCACTTTGCGATCCCAGCCCCCCGGCCCCCGCTGTGGTCACCGGCAGCTGAGGCAGGGACAGAAGAGGTTAGTGGCTCAGCCGTGTGCACCAACGGCTTACCTCTCCTCCACTGAAGTCAGATTGTCAATCTCAGTCATCACTTCAGCGATTTCATATTTCAGCCTCTGCCAAAAGAGCAGACAGACACTTGGGGGTGGGGCTCTTTACCATCCCCTCCTAGACTCGAGAAATTCTAGCCTCCCAGACACAAGCTTCCCTGAGGCCTCACGTGGACGTCCCGGGGACGGAAAAACCAGTACTTTCCATCCAGTCCAAGCAGCCCCAACTCAGGAGAAAGCACAACCGTCATCTGTCCACCTGTCGCCAGAACAAGCTCGGAGGGGCCAACCGGGCCGACTCTAGAGTATGTGTATGTAAAACACAACAGCAAAGGGAAGCAGTGAGGCCTTCGCTCACTCACTGCGGCTGTTCAGCTCCTCCTCCCCAGCCTCTGGCCACCCTCCCGGCCTTCTTCACGGCCATGGTCTTCCTCTCCTCTTGGGAAGACCAGGGCAAAGGTGCTGAGGCCGGTGTTGGGTCCCGAGCCATCAGTCTGGGTGCGAGACGGAGCGGCAGGGACAGAGCCCAGGAGGTGCCAGCAGAACGCACCTGGGGCTCGGATACGCCAAGAACCCCAGAAGGGACAGGCTCCCCTGTGCCTCCACACGGCTCCACCACTTACTGGCTGTGGGACCTTCGGCAACGCTCTTACCCTCTCTGGGCCTCAGTGCTCTCAACTCAAAGGTGAGGTCACTACAGCTACCTGAGCCTCCACGGGCACCATTGTTGCTAATGTCCAAGCAGGACGACGAACCTTTAATATACATTCTTACTCTTCAACCAAAGCACCCATTCTGGGAAACAGTGATTTTTACACGAATGAAGGGTAACCTTACAAGAAAAAGTTCCACAGATTACCTTTCAAATACAAAGATACTTTTATTAAGACACTACTGTTTTGTTCACCAAGGAAGTTCAGACCTCAGATGCGGGCTCCTAGGACGGAGGTGCTGTCTGAAGGCTTGGTCTTGCAGCAAGTGGCCAGTGAGGCCACATTCATTTTGACATGACAAAGATTCGGGAGCTTCTCGAAGAAGAGCCACACATCTGACTAACTTTCCCACGGAAACCCCAAGTGCAAGCAGTGCTGGTCTCCTGAATAATTTCCACCACGGTCTGACCCTGAGGTTGTGGTTTGGTGCCTCTGCTTCTCCTGGGGGGTGCCCTGGCGCGCCAGGCTCCGAGGACACAGCCGTGGCAAGTGCGGTGTTTGCCCGTGTTTTATCATTCTGTTCCCACCAGCTAGTCGGCGCTCGGGGGTCCGCACGCCAGAAACGGGACGGCAGGTTCTGGGTGCTAAGGATTTTGGCAAACGAATAGGGCCTTCTTCCACTTCAGAGAGCCATCCACATTGTCGACAAGTGCCCTCACTGTGGACTCCAGCTCCGTGGCCGCACGGCCTGGTGAGCACAATCTGCTTTACCAACTAGGGTAACCCTTTCACTCCCTTCATGTGTTAGGATACAGACATATGAGATGCCCAGTTTTTACCTTTTCATGAATTATTTTAGTGATTATTTTACCTAAAAGCAAAAACTAAGGGGAGTTTTTGGTTTTGATTTTTTTTTTACCTCAATGTCATCAATAAGTTCCTTTTTTCTTCGACGAATGTCTAGAAGTTCTTCTCTCTCTTCTAATGAGAGGTCTTCGGGCACTGGAAGAAAAAAAAAATCAAACAATTAAACTACTACCAGTCTGAAGCCCATGTTGGCAACATCTAGTGAGGCTGAAGGTGGCACATCAACACGTCAGCGGGTCTGTAGGTAGGCACCTAGCCCCCAAAGAATCCTAGCACGTAGACCCCGTGTAATATATTCATAGCAGCCTTGTTTGTGATAGGAAAACCACCCAAATATCCTCTAATAATGAATAAATGGTGGTATATATTTTTTATTTTTTAATAATAAATGGTGGTATATTTATAAAACAGAATCCCACGCAACAATAAAACATGGCTGAACTCAGTCTATCAATACAGGTGAGCCGCTCAGAACAGAAAAGGTAAAGCAGACTGGAGACTGTATACGGCCGTTTGGGAAGGCTGAAAGTCAAGCACACGCTTTGGAGGTGAGACGTGCATGTATGTACAGAACATAAGCGCACTGAAGTTCTGGATAGCGGTTGCTCCGGAGAAGGCTGGATGGCAGGAAACACATTCCAGAACAACTCAGGGACGTGTCAGTGCAGTGGGGGGAGGGTAACCAGTACGTGGGTAACTGAATTTTTGTATTATTATTATTGACAGAATTGTTAACAACATCCTCTTATTAATGACTAACCTCCCCCATTCCTACCACGTCTGTGCTCTTTTCTTTCATTGTGCCGCAACTGGTATTTCATTAAGCTTTTCAAAGAAGCAGCTTTTGATTTTTAATACTCCTCTACTGTGCATTTAATTCCTACTTCATTAATTTCTTTAAAGAAACAAAAGATGGAGAATCTGATCAAAAAGCAAGAGAGCACAGATTCCAGAAATGAGGAGAATACGGTCATGGTGCAGGGGTAGACACACTGACGGATGCACCAGAAGACTAGTCAGGGAAGTCCCCCCAGACAGACAGGAGCTTGCTTTATAACAGAGCTGACACCGCAGCTCAAACAGACAGGGTGGACATGTCGGTAAGTGACACGTGCTGTGTGATCCATCGGTTATCCTTGTGCACAAATTGAAGCTGAATCCCTGTTTATCATACGTATTTTCAACCAACTTCAAGTGGAACAAAGGCTTAAATACAAAGGCAACACCACAATTTTTAGAATAGGGGAGAACTTGTTTACAACTTCAGAGTAGGAAAGGATTTCTTAAACAAGATAGGAAAAAATGTAAATCACAAACAAAAATATCAGTAAATTCACCATTAAAATTAAGACCCTTTGGTCACCAAATTCCACGCCATGAAGAGCTAAGCCAAACACCATCAAAGGGTTGGTATTCTGGATGGAATACAGAACTCTTACAAAGAAGGGGGAAAGAATTTAAAACCAAGGTTAGTAAATGGGCAAAAGACTTGAACAGACACAAAACTGAGAAGGAATCTATCAGTGGACATGTGAAAAGACATCAACTCTCCTAACCGTTGGGGAAATGCAAATTCAAATCTCAGGGAGGGACCTCCACTAACAGGGCAGTAGAGCTCACTGAAACTACAGGGAGGTGGTCTCTTAAAACTCAAAAACCCATGAGGACAAAGATAACGGGGGGTGGGTGGGTGGGGGCGCAACACGTTTTGAAGCTAGAAGACCGACTGGCCCAGCAGTGACTCACTAAGGTGAGCAAGAAGAATCTTACGCCAACAGGGCGGGGCAGACCCAGCCATAACCCGACTCCTCGGGCATCCAAGGGCCTGGGAACTGGTCAGGTCAGTCTGGGGGCGGGCTGAGAAGAGGAGCAAGCTCATGGCAGGACTGGATGAGGCTGTGGGAGAGCTGTGGGGCCCCTTCATCTCCTCCAGCTCCACAGAAGACTCTACACAGTCAGAGGCCCAGGGGTCACCCCACACAAGAGTGCACCACACCAAAGACCGGGGCTGTGCGCCAGGCTGACACCCCGTCGCCACCACCACCCATCTCCCCATGGGGCTCCCGGACTACTGGCAACCCCCCTTTACCCACCTGCACCATCCTGGACTAGAGGTAGGAGGGTCTTCTCTGCAGCATCAGACCAGCTTTAGATGCAAAGAGACTGATTTGCGGGGTGGGGGGCTGTCCACCAGCAACCAGCACACCTAGATCACCCCACAGAGAAACCGGTCAACGAGGCCTCCTGACACACTCAAGAGTTCCCAGTAACCTCTAGCCTTGCACTCTCCCGAGATAAGCCTCTAACATGCAAAACAGACACCAGAACAGAAACAAAGAGGTCAACGTGGTTACACCTTGGGGAGCAAGACATGTGGGAAGCCAGGGACACGCTCGTCTCCCCCACTACAGCCCTGTGGAACCACTGCCTGATGCATACATACCTGAAAAATGTAAAAACCTGAAGAAAGACAGGCATGTCACAATCACCCAACGGGGGGGGGAGGGGGGGTGGAGTAAGGGGGAGAGAAAGAGAGAAAACAAGTCTGCTCAGAGTGGAAACCGGCATGGCCACTTTGGAAAACCATTTGGTTCCTATCGAAGATGTGCCTAAGCAATGGACCAGTGATTTTACTCCTAGGTGTATATGTACTAAATTCCTGAGCGCTGCAACAGAAGATATGATAATGTCAAAGAAGCACACTTTGTAGAAGAAAACGGAGAGAAAGAATGGGAAGATACGTTGTACATTCAGGCAAGAGACTCCCGAACCACGGTAAAAATAAATCACATACAAGCACAAACAAATGGATCATCTCAGGAAAAGAATATGGAGAGGGAGCTTTCTATCAATTTCAAAAACAAAAAAAATTAAACAATATGTTGTTTGGGTATACAAATATATACATAGTAACAATAAAGACAATCACTGGAATGATAAATAGGGAATTCACAATAATATTTACTTAGGAGGAAAGAAAAGGGGTACACAGGATACTTTGAAAGGAGTAGTATGCTCCAAAGGAATGCTCTTTCGTGAACAAATACTCATATCGCTATCAAATGAAAATTTAATTTTTAAATCTTCAATGAAAACATTTTTTAAAAGCCAGGCAGAGCTCCTGGCCCTTGAGTGGACGTGCAGACTACGTTCTTCCACAAAGTAGTTACAACTCTGAGAATTTAGATAAAGCAGAGAAAGATCTTTTTTCATACAGGATGACACCTAGTGTATTTCAGCTCAGAAAATTCAATGCGATTTAGTCATTAAAACCAACAGTCAAGGGCAAAGAAGGAAAAAAGCTGGCCAGATCCCCCTCCCTAAATAAGCCACAGAGATTTCTTATTTTCAGTTTTCTTCTGTTGAGCTGTCCAGGTCGAGAGAGGAAAACAAGACTCTGCAAGGTGAGGGCTGTCATGCCATCACCAACAGACATTTTTGTTTCTTTTCAGAGAGTCCACCTCCGGCCCCTCCCTCCGACCCAGAGGATGAGGAGGGCTGGCTGACAGCACGGAGTGACGGCCGGGGAATGCATCTCCACACCAGGCTGACCTGATGCTAGACTCTCAAGCTTCTACCCATACCCTTTAAACTCTCCTTCACTGATGCGCATCTTTTCCTGTCCCGTTAAGGCCCCAAGGAGTTAAACAAATCAAGTACTGACCAGTTACTTTACCAGAGCTTCCCAGATTTTGCCGGTCTAAAAGAAAGAAACATTTTGTAAGGTGGGATAAGGTGTAGAATAAGGTTCTTATTCTTATAGCTTCACACTGTCCCACATAAGGGCTGAAATGATACTATGTCTATACTTCTGCCAAAAAAAAAAAAAAAAAGAATTGAGTGAACAAGAACAATCGTTAAGCCTATTTGATGGACACAGCGGTAGCCATCATCTATTTCATATTCTAAGGGTTTGAAATCTGTCATAGTAGAGAGTAAAAAAGAAAAGTTTCTAGTATTCGCTGGCCAGTAGTATCTCTTATGGTTGTATCTACTAGGGCATTTGGCTGAAGTATTAATAGGAAATCATGCGATGCTCCCTGGTGCATTACAAAGAATAAATAAGTAAGAGGAACAGAAATATGTGACAAAATACTAGACCGATCTCTGCCCAGGTTCTGTGGCTTCAATATCTCACTACCCTATTCCTTTTCTTGACACCCAGGATGTGCAGCGAACACCAACATTCAGCTGTGGCTCCAGCTGTTGGGGGGAAGTTCTAGCAGTATCTCTCTGCATCCTAAATAACTCTGCAGTCACATCATCTGCTGACCTGCAGGTGCTTTCACACATGCACGCACCACACTAAGAATGGGATAAGCGGTGTGCAGAGCAGGCATCCTTAATTATCAAGACCTTTTCTCGCAGCAGCGCACCCAGGGAAGGCAGTATAGAGTTTGGATCCGCTACCTGACATCACCATCATTTTGTCCTGTTGACACTGTTAGGTAGGATGAAAACAGGAAAGTCTCACGGTTGATTTTTTTTTTTTCCCCCTCCTCAGAAAGCTGGTCCTATTTAATTGAAAACCTAATACATGGATATGGTTTTATACACACACACACACAGCACACATAAAAGGACATATGATAAGACATTTTTCCTTCCAACCTCAATAAAACCCATCTCCTAAAAAAAAAAAAACAAAAAACAAATTAGGGATGCCTGGGTGGCTCAGGTGGTTAAGCGTCTGCCTTCGGCTCAGGTCATGATCCGAGAGTCCTGGGATCGAGTCCTACATCGGGCTCCTTGCTCAGCGGGAAGTCAGCTTCTGCCGCTCCCCCTGCTTGTCCCGTCTCGCTCTCTGACAAATAAATAAAATCTTAAAAAAAAAATTAATTGGAAATTACTGGTAAGATTCAGTGAAATCACTTCACAGTTGAATGCCCCTATCGTGAGCTTCCAAATGGAATCCCGACTTTCCAGAGACAGGCTTGAGCAACAACGCCCTTCATCACCCAGGACTCAGTTCTTCACCCACAGAATGACAGGGAGGCTGGATGAGCTCAATTGCTGGATTATCACGATTATCACTGCAAGTTCTAAAGCAAAATGAGTCTACTTTAGCCACAAAGGAGCAGGTCTGGTTTCAACAAATATAAGTATTTTCACGAAGGAAAAGCAATGGG